CAAAATAAACAGTACATTATCTTTCTACCATTATCCTTTATCTTCATTCTTCTTTATTTTAAAACAAATATAAGAACATTCAAAAAAGTCTTGTCCTACTCTGGCAGCATCTCTTCCGTAAGGATTTTTACATGGATTCTCCCATTTTTAAGGTATTGATATTTTTATTAAGCTACTGTTTCAGCACTAATATTCTGCCAGCTCCAATTCCACTGATGTTTGTGTGAGATTCTGCAGCATGCCTCACTGTGCACACTTGCTTAGTCAACCTCTCTATTCTTCTTTGTTACTTCCTTTTATATAATTTTTATTAAAGATTTTTAAAAAGGAAGATAAAAACTAATACAAATGAATATGAAGTAAAAAAGAAAAAGCAAGAAATCCAAGAGAAAGCTAAAAGTGCAAGAAAGGGGGGAAAAGTAAAAGAAAAATAGAAAAGAAAGAACAAAGATACAAAGGCTTCCAATCTTCTTTACAGCAGTTATAAGTACAATTATAAATGTACTTATTCTTTGTTACTTCCAAAAGTCTTCATTTCTTTTTTTACCAAACATAGTGTTTTTAAGGTAAATGCTTCTCATCTTACACAGAATGTTCTTTCAATGCCAGTCCATAAACCCATTTCAGCCCACATCACCTGGGAGTAGAGGTAGGACTTTTACTAAGTTTGAATTTCTTAACACTTCCCTGCCCTTCAAGCAAATGAGCCATTTCTGGTGAAGTGTATGTTGCAAAGCATAGAGATAAACTACATCTAACTTTATTGGTATTGCCACTACTCTAGAAGTGCTAGAGATGATTCTGACAACTCCTGTAGCTGTGCCCACAATTCCAGTCATGTCAGGAGAAGGAGAATGTGTTATACAACACACCAAGGCCATCATATTCACACAGCACACTAAGAAAAATCAAAGCAAAGATGTTACGTTTTACTGTGATACTTGAATCCAATCTCAATGTGTTTTGTTTGGTAATGTTAGCATGTTGTGTGAGCTCAGGTGCTGTGGTTTGTAAACCATGATTTATGCTTTAGTGCAATGTGTGATCCTAGCCAATTATGACTTATTCAATAAAATCTGGAAAACATAGCTTAGCTGATCTGTGAACCCATATATCTTGTACATTTGCAAATGCAACAGCAATGATGAAAATGATCATATTAAAATCTTTCTGAGAAAAGCTACCATTAAATAAAAATAAAAACATAAAATACATAACATTATAACCTGTGATTTGTTTTTTCCTCCCTTTCTTCTTGAGTGTGCATCAGCAAAGCTTGCTTCTGAGTGCATGGATTCATCTTGTGAAACATACTGAGCTTTAACTAATGATATTCAGCCAACTAAAACACAGCCTTTAGATATTAATTAGAGATGCAAATGATCATGCAAAGAAGTACTACCTGGTGGGAAATCATATTATTTAAATATTTCCTTGTTCTTGAGGTTGATTAGGTGCAATGCTTATAAAACTTGAAAGCCTTATAATTGCTCCTGCTTCAAAAAAAGAAAAGCTATGCTCAACCAGAAAACCCAGGAACTCCCTAAACAAACATGGAATAGTAGCACCTTCATAGCTATGTTCCCCTGCTTAATCCATTTATAAAACCTTCCAAGTTGGCCAATTCCATTGTTTCATTATGCATCTTGCTTAATATTTCTAGGTTGTCCTCCATATACTACCAATTATTGGATGGCCTCAGATGTCCATATTATGAGAAAGAGACAAAATCTTTCTCCTATCCATGAAATTGTCCACTAAGCATAATTTGATAACTTAATAATGTTATCTGCTGAGAAAAGTTCAGTTACTGGGTGGCTTAGAAATGAATAAATCAGATCAAACATTCTTATCCTATCATTTGCTGTATTTCTAAGAAAAGGGGGCTAACATTTGATTGTGGTTGTTCAAAGATTGTCAACCAGATTGCCCCCATCTGGGTTACCCATGCTGGACTCCCTGCATTCCACCCCCCTTGCCAAAAAGCTCTGCATTTCAATACATAGCACACTTACAGTGCCCCAGTGCTTCCACATATCGTATATTTGCAGACTTTTTCCAATGGTGCTTGCATGAATATAGCTAGATCATGATACCTGCTTAGGCTGCAGTCACATCTGCCATAGTTCTCTTACACTTGTTGCCTTTCAAACTTATTGGGTCTACAAGATCCAGAATTCCCAACAGCATGACTCTGCTGGTGTACATAATTATCAGCACACAAACTCTATTGGAAACAGGTCCTTTCAAATAGGTAGGACTAGGATTATAAATCAAACATTTTCAAAATTACAATGATGCTGGTGGCACTCAGCTGCCAAATGCATCAATCTTAGCCAAGCTGTCCAGTTAGGTCATTAGTTTCTAAAAATGCTTACTGGGGGAAGCTGGTTCTTTGCGAGCAACCGTTTCACAAGCCTCCATAAGAGAATGAATATAAATATCTATATATTACTAAAACTCTCATTGTGTTTATCTATTTGTACAGTACCCTCAAGTTAGCCCAAACGGTGCATTATACTGCAACAATTTTTGAATCAAGGTACCTAAAATCTCAACTTAAAGAATGCGTAAAAAATCCAGGACCCATTACTCCCATGGAATTGAAATTTCCACGATGTTCAGATCAGTTTTATTCACAAAGTTGTGGCTGTTGCAGTGTCTCCACGGCCCCGTGATTGTGATTTCTGACCTTCCCTGCCAGCTTCCCACAGGCAAAGTCAATGGGGAAGCCAGCAGGAAGTCGGAAGTCGCTCCCGCTCCCACTGCTTTTTTGCCCACCCTTGATCATTCTGTTTATCTGTTTAAGTAAACATTGACTTATTATTGAAGTTCATTTGACACTACAATTATTTTTCTATTTATGACACATACTCTTCTTAGATGATCACAGGACCATTCAGCACTGGTGTAAAAAAAAATATGATCAGCCTAAAATGTAATGTTCATTCTGGCACTACCTTTCTCTCAAAGTATGACCCAACATACAAATACAGAAGCTTTCCCTTTTACAAGTGAAGGATCGTTTTTCACGATTCAGTTGAAGATTATCCTATATTTTGATATCAAAAAAGGGGCACCAATACTGGGGGTAATATGCATCTTTTGTAACATGGAAATCTGTATGCACGATGGCAATGCGCTGGTATACAGGCAGATGTTATTATCACACAAATCTTTAATTGGTTGATGCTAACCCTCCTTAAAAACAGAGAATACTGGGAACCATATATTCTAGTACTGACGAGTGTGATGGAGAAAATCACATTTGTTTAACAACTCTATTATGATTTGCATACGAGGAAAATACAATAGGATGTGCCAGTAGGGTTGGGGTGCAAATGGCATGCTGCAAAACAATGTATACACACCACACACGTACCACAAACCTGTCTCGGGAAGGCCCTTGGTTGTTTCCTGTTTATTCAATGGTGCTGCAGTGCTCTACACTCTAACTTCTAAGGCCATGAGGGAGGTGTGCCCCCTCCCTCGTGGCCTTCAGAAAAGGGGTTAAATCCTGGCTCTGCCAGAAGGCCTGG